AAGTATTAACCTGTAATTTAATTTTATAAAAATTTGGCAAGAATTGTACACGTGGGAGCGCTAACGAGACCGGGCGGACAGACGGACAGAAGGATTGACGACTTGTATTTCTATGTCCCCCGCAACGCATCGCGCGGCGGACAATAACTTATAAAATAAAATCGCTGCCAAAATCGTGTAACAAGCCGACTTCCATTAAACATTGCAATTTGATACAATTTGGAAATAATACTTTAATATCGTAACAAGAAGTAACAGACAACATACAAAATGAAATATGAAATATATATATATACTTGTGCATGTATGAATTAAAGGAGAAGAAAACAAATTAAAGTGTTATTGTATATAAAATCTATATGGGTCATACTTATGACGTCATTGCTACTGCTCCATTTAGCATCAGTATAAACACAACTCACATATTCAAAACTAGAGAATGAAAAACCTTCCAAGAGTTTTGACGAGGAGAGAATCAGATAATTACGGGTTACGTAATACCTTCACACTAATATAAACAACAATTACACCAAATATGATGTTCTGAAAATACTAGACTGTTTGATCAACAGCAAACATGTTGATATTGACGGATTTATATTTCAACAGACATTCGATATTTCAATGAGTTTTATTGTGTACGCCTACTGGCAGACTTGTTTTTGCACTCATATGTAGTACAATTCTTACAAATCCTTCTCAAGAACAAAACGAAAAAGCATCTTGAAAGTTTCTTCAATTTCACTTACAGCTATATTGATGATGACCTATCACTCAATAAACCTTATCTAAGTGAGTGTTTGTATCGTATATATCCGAATGAACTTCATGTTAAGGATTTTACAGAAAGAAGAAGGTCTGCTTCATATCTTGATCTTATCATCATATTTACACAGATCGAAGATTTCAAATTAGAATCTATGACAAACGTGATGATTTCCATTTTTTAATTGTCATCTTCCCATTTCTCAGCTGCTGCAATACTACATATATACCCTCTGTTCCATGCATATCGTATGAGCTCTGCCTATCCCAGTTATGAACGTTACGTATGTGTATGTCCCACACTTTACGGACTTCATTGACAGGAATACGCTTCTGATTCAAAACTGCTATGAAGTTATGAAGAAAACACGACTACAATCGGAATTACATAAGTTCTACTGTCACCATCAAAAATTGATTGACCAATACGATGCGTCAGTATCTCAACTCAAACGTGTCATGTTTTTGCTGTTTCTTTAGGTAACAGAATAGTCGTCTGATCTGTTACTTTACCGTGTGTGTCTTATTCTGAATAGTGACATTGTGACCATTGTGACAGAATGGATTTTCCAACTGGTTAACGCTTGCATAGCAGGAGACGCATACTTTGCTGACGCACCCGGTCTCGCTTTCTAAGGAAGAACATAACTGAAATATATTGGTGAACTGGTGCATTACTGGTTAGAAAATAATGTTGTAAGAGCAAACAATAAAAATCAGATCGGTATCACAGTAATTAACTCATCGAATGATTGGAATGTCAAAACTGCCAATAAATAACGACAACCGAGAAACGTTTTGCAGCAGGCATACAAAAAAAGTGGATCCAAAATAAATAAAAATTGATATCCTATTATCTTTATTCATAATAAGACAAACAAGTGGGAACGGAAACTTGTATACTAACATGCAATGAAACAATTACTCTGTTTAAGTTGACATATTTAAGGGCATACGATACAGTTACAGGGGAGGTAATGACGTTGCTAACGTAAAATGTTATTTTGGCGACGTCAAACTGTGACATATCGAGAAAAGATGTATTTTTCGACTGATTTTTATCATTCAAACTGATTTAACTTGAAAACGAGTTCATGGACCCCTCTTTTTTAAAACGACATTCGGTTTGATTACGTATGAAGATTATTTGTACAAATTTTCATGAAAAAGTCAATAATGCAATTTTTTTAAATTTGATAAATATATAGCAAAAAATGACGTTTTTTTCTACATTCGTGAACATTTGATGAATTTGAGTTATTTCTAAACAAAAGATTTCATAAATTTATAGGATTCTTATATAAAACAGAAATTACAAATAATTTAACAAAAAACAGCTTGTGTTTATCTTTTAAAACAAAAAAGTTATGCATTTCTGTCGGAAGGAAAAATACGTTTACAAATCCGAATTTTGAGCAAATATCTGGAATTTCGAACTCATTTTACTCAAAAAGTAGCACATGAAGGTTTATTTTTTATTACATATTTGATTTAATCAGGTGAAAAAATAGCCCATTTGCAAATTTTCATCAAATTTTCATTATGGGATCAAAACTGTATCGTATGCCCTTAAAATCTTGTTATATGTCACTACCATTTTTTCTTTTGAAATAAAAACATGCAAATGTTCACCAAACAGTTGTGTCATAGATGACCACGATACACTTAAATATTTCCTTGTAAAACTAACTGTCCTATAAAGTGTAAAAAGATGAAAAAGGTTAAAAATATATTTTTCCATTGTATCTGATCAACTGAAAATTATATTCTCACTTTTCATTAAGAGAGAATTCTTTATTACGCAGCAAAAATTAAAATAATTTTGTTAAGATCTTTTAAGAAGATCATATGATTAAAAGAAGGAGAACTGATGAGAGGCACACTTCCAGAACATTGAGATCACATTATCTTTAACATTTCCACTACAAATACGATTATCAACGTATAATACAGTTTGATATTTTTAACAGCTTACCATATGTTTATGTAAAAAATAGTACCATTTTCACTTTTTTACCCTATATTTGACAGTATGTTTACATGAAAAGTTAAAATATATCGTAGATTATCTATGACACAGCTGTTTAATGACTTTTTGCCTGCTTTAGAAAAAATTATATTAAGACAGAATGATGATTGGTGTATGTATCATATAACAAAATGTTAAATATATAAACTGAAACAGAATCATTGTTCCATTGCGTGTTAGCATACCAGTTAGCGTTGGCACTTGAAAGTATCATTATTTACAAAACAGGTAAAGGGTGCCAGTTTAATGATTTCAGCACACACATATATATATATATATTTAAGGAATGACTGTAATATTTTTTCTGTCTATGAAGAAATAACATCAAAAATGTGGTGCACACTGAATAACCCACGTAGCGGGTTATTTAAAGTGTGCACCACCTTTTTTATGTTATTTCGAATAGACAGAAAAAATATTACAGTCATTTCTTATAATTTAATTCTAAATTCCATCTTAAACCGTAGTAAACCATGAAAAAACGTTGATGACGTCACGTTCACATGACAAAATTATGTCTATGAGCTGATAAACAAAACAACGTCAGCCAATCAGAAGACGCGTTACATCCAAAATTAAAATTATATATATATATATATAAACTAATAATAAGCTTCGGTTGTTAAAAACACCAATACGTATAATACGTTGATAATCGTCTATATTTGGATCGACAATGTTTATGTCTGCTACTAAAAAGTAAAATAACAAAAATACCGAACTCCAAATTTCAAAAACGGAAAGTCCCAAAATCAAAAGCTTGAATACATCAAACGAATGGAAAACAACTGTCATATTCCTGACTTGGTACAGGCATTTCCTTATGAAGAGAATGGTGTATTAAACCTGGTTTTATAGCTAGCAAAACCTCTCACTTGCGTGACAGTCGCAGACAATTCCATTATTTTGACAACAATGTATGAACAAAACAAACAGACTTAAAAGGTAAAAATGTCCAAAAAAAAAGGGGTACAGCAGTCAACATTGTGTTATATTCTTAATCACTATAAAAACAAGCCACAATGTCAACAAAGAACAACAAAATGGTATAAAGACTCTCTATAGACAATGCACATAAGCAAAAATGGTGACAAGAATACAAAAATGACCAGAGCATAATAACACAATAGCGGGATGTATAGATACAGAGCCACGCTTAAAGGGTATTACCAAAAATAGACTACACAGTAAAGGTTAACAATATACGAAGACAAATAAAAAAACACTAAAACACGAAATTAAAATGATAAACCACGTCATTACATATAATCTTTACTTCAAGACCATTGTGTATTATTTGTGAAGTTGATACGGAATTTTTATAACTTTTAGGATTTTTTTTTTATTCGAGTGTCACTGATGAGTCTTTTGCAGACGAAACGCGCGTCTGGCGAAAATACAAAATTTCAATCCTGGTATCTATGATGAGTTTTTTTATCAACAAGCTCTTGGTATCTTCAGATGAACTTTTTTTTAGAAAAAGGACGAGACGTTCTTTGACATAATATAGTACCCCTGGTGCATCATCCTACCGCTCAGACACTGGTGACGTCTTATAAAGTCTGTGTAGCATCAGCAAGCTCTTGAATACCGAATGAGATAGTAAATGTACATCCCATATGCCGGTTAAGTTGTATATTGCTGTTAAGGTGGGAGAAATTGATAATTTCAAAATTAAAATCGTCTCGTTTGTCAAAAACATCCCTCGGTTGTCGTTACCTTTTGACAATTTCCATTTTCCTACCATTCTTCAAAAAACATTGATTCGATGAGATAATTACTGTGATAGTGAATAACCAATGGATAGGTTCCTTAACTTTTCTTCTTTTTAAAATTTGATATAACATCCTCAGTAACTCGACGACTTGTTTATCATGTGCTTTGTGTTTAAAATGATGTAATATGGAACGGAAAGAGAAATATAAGACCTATGAGGAATATGGCAGCTGTATAGTCGGCGAGAAATCAAAAAAGCTTTATTTAAAAATGCAAGATGAATTGCCTTTTGACATTCTCGTAAGTACCTGAGACCCTCCCCTGGATTTTGGAGTTCGTGTCGTTTTTTAGTGCCAAGTCTTTAGTTTTTCTATGTTGCTTGTCTTTTGATCGTTTTTTTTCGTTTTTTACCATGGCGTTTTCTGTTTGTGTTTGACTTTATCCCTTATGTATCTTCCGTCTCTGTATTATAAATCATGTCAGTACCGATGCACTTCAAGACAATATTTTATTACTCATTTTTTATTTCATTTTCCATAACATTTTCCTATCACTGACCACTGCCATCCTGACACTTTACAGAAGCATCCTTCTGCAACTTGTTGACCGTGATCGACACATCTACCAAGATTATCTGGACATTCTACAACAAAAATATATAATAATGATATATTTGTTCATACAAAACTTAAACTATAACAGTAACAGTAACTACACAATTGCTATTAGAATAAGTATGAAGGAAATATTATCAGGTCTTTACAGACCACATGACACAAAAACAAATCATTGGATGCTACATACTGGAGTGAGACAATGTGTGTCGACAGGTATAGCGGTTCCTTTTTTGAATACAACACATGTCATGGAATGAGAAATTCACCTTCAGCTTCAAGAAAAAACAACTATGAACTCAGATTGGTAATTTACAATTGTGATTTATTACAATAAAACTATTCCCAAGGTAAATAAAAATGGATATGTGGTAGTTGTAACAATGAGACAACAAAGCACAAAAATAACGAAAAAAAACAATAAAAACACAAGTAATGCCGATAGTTATTTTGTTAAACAATGTCTGAATTACATACATATAATAATATTCAGTATAAAAATAATAACGAAACAAACAAAAAAGTATCTATAAAAGAGAACTACAAATCCACATGATATTTAAAAAAAATCTGTTCGACAAGAATATTATAGTTTACATGGTTTTGTTTCAATCAACGAAATACAGCCAAAAAAACATTCACAATGTTATATTTTGCGTTAGCGATATTTATCTATGACTAGTATAAATGTATGTACCTTAGGAAAACTGTAAATAGTTATACAGCAAATATCGAAGTGATTTTAAAATTATTTTACACCTTTGCAATCAGCAATTAATCAGCAAAACTTCCACACCCGATTGCAAATTGAGTATGACACATTGGTTTCAAAATATTTTCAAAAACATTCGCGTCAATAATCGTTTCTAAACTATTGGATATAAACATTAAAAGATATAAATAAAAGAATGTTTCATTATTTTACATGTTTATGGATAAAAATTGGAAGTTATATTACATTTGACCACTACAACTATTCGAAAATATTTTGGTATTTTTATTTTAAAATGTTATATAAGGAGAACGCTAAAAACCAGTTCAATAACACAGTCGAATCGGGAGGACACCCTATTTCTAAAGACTATTTGGCATTATTTGTCAACTTAGAAATTTCTGAAGTTTTAAAATTCAGATAAAATCATGCCAAAACAAAGACATCTTATATCGGAGAAATGATAATGTCCAGAGTATACATCTAAAGATGCAGTGGCATCGATCCACTGGTAGCCATTTGAAAATAAGGATACGTTATGCGCTTTTCGAAAATTGATTTTATGTCAAAAAATATCCTTCTCAATTTGAATATTGTATATTAAATGCCTTTAACAGTAAGTCATACGTACCTATAAAAACACAAGTTATTTCAATTAAAACATTTGTTTTAGCATTAAATATGAAAATATGAAATATACTAACATTTGTAAAGAACTCCGAAAAGAAAAACGAGAAAGAAAAAAACATACGTGTTTTTACTATTGATGTTTTCCATCCTTGCAGATTACCGGAAGAGTAGACGACGCATTTCTTCGTCCAACATCCTTGTTTCCACTCTTGGTTAGGAAAGTAACATACCCCTTTTACGCTGCAGCCTGGACAACCTTTAACTTGAAGAAAAATCATAGTAAATGAAGTTGATTGCGACACTGTCTTTTCAGAATGAAAAGCAATAACTAATCATGATCTCCCCTCTTCTATTGTAAATCTTCCTAAGACAAATTTCAGAATATTTTTGTAAAATTATTTTACGTATTGACCTGCCATTATATGTATCATTTTTAAATTTTAAGAGCACAAGACACTTCACCAATTTTATTAAGAAATTTGGGCATCAGAACCGTTTTAAACACTAGAAAAGACTTGCACTTTACTAATGAAAAAACTATATATATGTTATGTATATAATACAATATATTTACTTATTCCGGGAATCTGAGACTGAACAATCACGATAACTGCTAGTATAATCAAGCCATATGATAATGTTTTCATCTGCAACATAATAAACATATTTTTCTTCATACATTGATATTTCAAATATCTTTAAAGCTTTCAAAATCAATAGTTTTTGATACACTGGAATATGCTTGTTTCAACGTGAAGGTTCAAATGTCTATTTCAGATAAAGGTCGACATTTACAACTAAAAAAACTTTGCATGCACTTCAGTAAACATAATTAACCTCATTTCACGTTATTTTTAAGTCATAATTATCGAGCAACCTGAAGTAACTTTGAAACAAAACCCAAATACCGTTCACATGCCAAAAAAAAAAAGAAACTTCCAGTGACCTTGTAGCTACATGTTTGCGCAAGAAACGATACACATAAATAAAAATCATACAGTCTGTCTTTACTACAAACGTCAATTAAGAATTAAATAAAAAAAAAAATTAAAAAGTAATAAAATGAAAGAAAGATTAAAAAAAAATAGATGGTGTACCTTTACCTTGATGACCTGACGTTAATGTACCAATGAAAATGAGATACTCTGAATCGTGTCTGGTTTTATACATGTATTTCTCGTAATTAACAGATGTGACGGTAAAGTGACCTTTCAGATGTCAATTTTTCAATTTGCAACGTTTGCGAATGACCACAAGGATATATTTATATGTATTAATTAGTAATACCGTTACCATCCAATCCATCATTAAGGGTAAAGACGATTATACATTTATATGTGTGTTTCCCATGAAATTTTATTGTTAAAAGAATAACAAAATAATTTTGTTAATTATTCAAACTAATAAAGCAAGTCTTTTTTTATTTTAATACTTTGAATTGTTATCATTTATATGTTGTTACTTTGTTAATCAAAATGATAATCTGCGGAAAAGTTATGTCAACGATTTTAGGCTTGAATAATAATCAGAGGTAGATAAATTTGTCGACTATCATTATTTTGAAGGAAGTTGAACATTGTCTGCAAATATAAATTGCAGGAATTCTTATCATTTTTATTTTCATGTTGTTGTTAGGAATATACATGTTATAATGGTCATGCCGTTGGATGTTAAGCAGCCATTAATAAAACATATGCACACGGCAAAATTAGTATCTACATATGATATATCAACTAGTGGGGGTTTTCAAATAAATATGCTGCAAATACATCTGACTAATATACCCTACAGTCACACAAAGCAAAACATGATTCATGGAAATCGGTTATGTTCATCATCATTTACATTAGGATAAATATAGAATCATAGAAATGACGATAAAACAAAACGATGCTTAGTTGTAAATGCCCATTTTATTGTAGATTTCTTCCTTTATTGTTATTACTGGGTCCTTCCTATTATTTTAATAAGTGGACATTTTTTTTTCGATGTGCTTGTGACTTCAGTGACGTCTCAGATTTTAATTAATGTACTTTCTACTTCATTTTAATAGAAATAGGGGGACAGGCAATTTACTATATCTAATTCCGAATAAAGAGATTTATCATGGAAATATATCGTGTCTCAAGCACTGATTTGACTCTTTTGTATGAAATCTTTTAGTTTAAACATATTTATTTGTCATCATTACAAACATATCATCATACAAAAATAAACTATTATGATAATAATAGGATTCAGAAATAAGCTGTACATAGCTTATATTAATCCGTTTCCTTGAAATACCAACTCCAATTAACGATTTCATAAAAAAAATAGCATGCAATGTTACAATGATATGAAACAAGAATAAGTAAGTAATTACATAACAAAGAAAGGAGGGTGGGGGGGGGGGGGGGGGGATTATATATTTTGAAAATAATGAAAATTAAAAAAAAAATACAACAAAGGAAAAAAAACAAAAAAAATACACTTAAATACTACACAAATGTCAAGATGAGATGCAACTTTCAAAATAGTGAATAACATTTTAACTTGTAAATCTCTTGCACTTTAGTAAGAATTTTTGTACTTTTTTTCAAAAACATCCTTGTTCTGGTCTAAATTAGGGCTTGTTAGCCAAATAGAAGTAGGTTTGTGTTCAGAATGACTGGATATTTAATTGAGAAAATAATTTCATTACGCAATGCGTCAAATTTTTATAATTCAATAGAAAATGAGCTAAAGACTCGATAGTCATATTAACTATATACCAAAAGGTATAGGGAATGTGGGGAAAGCATCAAGGATACAGGAGTCGGTTTCACAAAAAAACTTACGACTGAGATTGATCGTAAGTCATTAACAATTCAGTATACTTACGATCGATCTTAGTCGTAAGTATTTTTGTGAAACCGACTCCAGTTACCCAACGACATTTTGGTCGTATTTTGGTTCTGACATGAAAAAGGATAAATTATTTTTAAAACAAATCCCCGTATAATGTAGAAATTCATTTTGGAATTCTGAAGTATCTTTCCAGACCTCGGTTCTTCATTCATGTATCATAATGGTTCTACATTTCGGTTTTTTGTCGGTTCTCCAAGCTGTTCAACATTTGATTTCCATTTGGCCTCGAGCATCCCTTCAAAGCGACATTCATTGTTCGAAATGATGTATCAATATTTGTACAGTTTACTGTTATTTTAACCAGTGCCAAGGGAACTGCGTTCATACGGGTTACGGTTGACTAGTACACGTGGCTTTCACAAGCCCGGTAGCTCAGAACTTTGGAATTGGAACTGAAAAGCAAACAACGCGTACAAGGAATTTTGCTTTAAAACTAGATTTCGTCTGAACAAATGTTCATTCAAGGAACTACTATTCATCCTTAACCTGGCATGCAATATTTGACCCATTTTTGTACCAGTGTCGTAAAAATCTGGACAGTTGATATTTTAGTTTTTTTTTATACGACTTTTAAAAATACTTAAAGACTTAGAATTTCTTTTTTGTTCTGGTAACTTATTTCACAATAATTTAAATCAATTTCGGAAGTATAGCCGTCAATATTATAGTGTAAGAAGGCGAGTTTTATATATTCGAGCTAACTTTAATTGACCTCGAACATTGTTTGATGCGGTATTATCTAGTACATTCAGTTTCTTTTCCAACGCTTTATCATAACTATTATTATTGGCTTTCCAAACTTTTGGTATCGAGCGTTCTCGATGAAGGTTAATCCAGAAAACACGTGTTGTGAAAGGATATCAATGATTAACCCCGTCAAGTATTCATGTGCCCGATCTATTGGACCTCGTCAGGTATTCATGTGTCCGATCTATGTTTTGGACCTCGTCAGATATTCATGTGCCTGTCACAAGGCATGAACCTTGTCAGTGGTTATATTTAGCTATAATATCTATATGCTTTTGATTTCTTTCATGACTTTAATGTCCAGTACATCTTTCATAGTCCCTATTAAATGTACAGAGTGGCTATTTGTCCGGCTAGCATTAATGAGGGTCTGGATGGGGGTCCTTCATTTCTGTATTCTTTCACTTTTTAGGTCATTTTCTCTATTCTGTATTTTTTTTTTGCCATTATTCTCTATTATTTAGATCTTAGCACCCCATTATTCTCTATTACTTATTATTTTGCCCTACATTTCTCTATTCTGTATTTTTTTTTTGCCCTTTATTTTGCACATTTTGCCTATTATTCTCTATTATGTAAACCCCATCCACACCCTCGTTAATGTATTCACCATGTATCTAGACATGAAACGGTATTACGCTCGACATATTGTAGGGAAATTTGCTTTTTTTTAAAACTAGTATAGTACTAAGCTTTAGAAGTCTTTCGTTTGTTTTTTTTGTTTTTTTGTTTTTGTTTTTTTTTTTTTGTGGTTTAGTTGATTTTGCATTCCCGTACATCCCACACTTCCTCCATTGCATACTTTTAATGGGTTTAAATATTAAAATTATTGTAAACCGATAAAAAAATGTAGTTATTTTATTATAAAAGAGAGGCGGAAGATACCAAGGGGATATTCAAAACTCAAAGATCGAAAAGAAACTGGCAACGCCATGACAAAAACCAGAAGACGATGAATAGACAAACAAGTCCACAAAAACTCTACATAGGAAACTAAAGACTCTAGCAGCACGATTCCCACCAAAAACTCTACTTAGGAAACTAAAAACTCTAGCAGCACGATTCCCACCAAAAACTCTTCATAGGAAACTAAAGACTCTAGCAGCACGATTCCCACCAAAAACTCTACATAGGAAACTAAAGACTCTAGCAGCACGATTCCCACGACAAACTCTACATAGGAAACTAAAGACTCTAGCAGCACGATTCCCACCAAAAACTCTACATAGGAAACTATCACTCTAGCAGCACGATTCCCACCAAAAACTCTACATAGGAAATTAAATACTCTAGCAGCACGATTCCCACCAAAAACTCTACTTAGGAAACTAAAAACTCTAGCAGCACGATTCCCACCAAAAACTCTACATAGGAAACTAAAGACACTAACAGCACGATTCCCACGACAAACTCTACATAGGAAACTAAAGACTCTAGCAGCACGATTCCCACCAAAAACTCTACATAGGAAACTAAAGACTCTAGCAGCACGATTCCCACGACAAACTCTACATAGGAAACTAAAGACTCTAGCAGCACGATTCCCACCAAAAATCTACATAGGAAACTATCACTCTAGCAGCACGATTCCCACCAAAAACTCTACATAGGACATTAAAGACTCTAGCAGCACGATTCCCACCAAAAACTCTACTTAGGAAACTAAAAACTCTAGCAGCACGATTCCCACCAAAAACTCTACATAGGAAACTAAAGACTCTAGCAGCACGATTCCCACGACAAACTCTACATAGGAAACTAAAGACTCTAGCAGCACGATTCCCACCAAAAACTCTACATAGGAAACTATCACTCTAGCAGCACGATTCCCACTAAAAACTCTACATAGGAAACTAAAAACTCTAGCAGCACGATTCCCACGACAAACTCTACATAGGAAACTAAAGACTCTAGCAGCACGATTCCCACCAAAAACTGTACATAGGAAACTATATCTAGCAGCACGATTCCCACCAAAAACTCTACATAGGAAATTAAGACTCTAGCAGCACGATTCCCACCAAAAACTCTACTTAGGAAACTAAAAACTCTAGCAGCACGATTCCCACCAAAAACTCTACATAGGCAACTAAAGACTCTAGCAGCACGATTCCCACGACAAACTCTACATAGGAAACTATCACTCTAGCAGCACGATTCCCACCAAAAACTCTACATAGGAAATTAAATACTCTAGCAGCACGATTCCCACCAAAAACTCTACTTAGGAAACTAAAAACTCTAGCAGCACGATTCCCACCAAAAACTCTACATAGGAAACTAAAGACACTAACAGCACGATTCCCACGACAAACTCTACATAGGAAACTAAAGACTCTAGCAGCACGATTCCCACCAAAAACTCTACATAGGAAACTAAAGACTCTAGCAGCACGATTCCCACGACAAACTCTACATAGGAAACTAAAGACTCTAGCAGCACGATTCCCACCAAAAATCTACATAGGAAACTATCACTCTAGCAGCACGATTCCCACCAAA